CCGGCCCCGGGCCCACAGCACAAGGCGCTTGGGCGGCCTCGGCCCCGGGCGCAAGGCGCTCGGGCGGCCCCAACCCCGGCCCTGGGGCACATGCCAGCGCCGGGTGCAAGGGCATCCCCTCCCCTGGCGTGCCCCTGGACGCGCGGCCCCGCCCCGGCGCGTGAGTGGCCCCACCCCCCGGAAGCCTCTAACGGTTGGGGACCACTTATAGTAATTAGGCCTGGATCTGATTCAGAATTTCCATATTTAGCATAAATTAGAATCTCTCATAGAACAGGAATGTGTAGGGAGAGCAGCATAAATATAAGACCGGATGCATATTACTTTTTTATCTTAGGATTTATATGACTCTGTTGAGTGGCAGCTGGCCCACAGAGGTGTCTCAAACTTACTCACTTGATTGAGTGGCCTACCAGCCACCAAGTACTATTATCCCAATTTTATAGATAGTATATAATCTCAGAAAGACAGAGTGATAAGATCACTGAGGACATTTGTGGTGGAGCAGCACACGGAACCTGTGTCTCTAGAGTCACAGGGTAATAGCTTCAGCACTAGACTCTCCTTTCTCACTTTTCACTTCAACATTCTTTCTAAACAGAATATTGATAAATTATACTATTATATGACATCATTCACAAAAATTACTCCTGTTTAGAATTGTTTACATCATGGCAGGGCCATCCCTAGAGGAATGCAGGCCCCAGGCAACCTCCCCGCCATCCCAGAGCCTGCTCCCACCCTGCCTCTGCTTTACCCAGCCCCCACACCACCCCTTTCCCAAAGCCCCACCCTACTTGCCCCCTGCACTGCCTCTTTCCATCCCTGCTCCACCCTACCTCCACTCCACCCCTTCCCCAAGTCCCACTCGTTCTCAGCTCTGCCTCTTCCCACCCCTTATCCCTCCCACCCACATTGCAGCTCCTCCCTCAAACCCTCTCCCCCAAGCTATGTGACCCATGTGGAGGGCGGGAACTGGAATGACCCAGCCCACTCCTTTCCTCCAACTCAGCTTCTAGCTGCTTTGTTTGGGGTAGGGGAGTGGGCTAGGGACGGGCCATTTTGCTTTCTGCTGCTGCAGTGAAGCAGAGTGACCTCGCTGGGAGATGGCAGAGCAGAGCAGGCTGTGTCTGGTTTGCTCTGTTCCCATAGTTCCTGCTGCCACTGGTAAATGGGGGGCTGGGCACAACCTCTGCTGCCAACACCAGGCCTCCAGGAAATCCTCCACATCTCCTGGGCCCTGCATGGCCTCCACGGGGTGACTGTATCAAACCATCCAATGGATGGGACCACTTTGCTTCAGGGGTCCTCAAACTTCATTGCACCGTGACCCCTTTCTGACAAAAGAATTACTACCTGGCTCCAGGATGAGTTACTGAAGCCTGAGCCTGCCCAAGCCCCAATGCTCTGAGTGACGGGGCCAAAGCCAAAGTCCAAGCCCCACCACCCTGAGGAGGGGGCCTATAGTGAGTATCTAAACATCCAGGCTGAAACTTCCTGGGCTTTGGCCTTGAGTGGTGGGGCTCAGGCCTTGGCTTTGGCCTCAGATGCCAGAAAGTCTAGGCGAGATCTGGCAACCGTATTAAAATGGGTTCATGACCCACAGTTTGAGAACTGTTGGTTTAGATTCTCTAAGTAAGATGTAAAATCTAATACATTAAACGGTTATGACTTTACACAGCTGAAATAGAATTGTCTCT